TTTTAGGTTTTTTTGGGTTTTTTTTCCCGTACCGAGAATCAAACTCACGACCTCGCGCTTGCCAGGCAGGCGCTGTGCCACTGAGCTAAATTCCCAGCCCCTTCATTTCTCCTTGGTGAGCGCCCAGGGGCACAGTTCGGGAAGTGGGTATTCGTGTGTCACTGGCTAGATTTCACTATAAGCCCCTTTCATTTTTGCTTTATGTTACGATTAGGGCATTGATTACATTGACCCTTTTTTCCCTCCAGTACTGGGGATTAAATCCAGGATCCAGGGCCTCTCCAGCCCCCTTTTCTATTTTTTATTTGGAGACATATCTCTCTAAGTTGCTAAATTGTCCGGGTTGGGCTTGACCTTGAGATCCTCCCGATAACAGGTGGGTTTACAGGTGTGTGCCACCGGGCCTTGTTCACTGGGTTTCTCGCAAATGTCTGGTTGGAGGGCCTATCGTCTGTAAATTCCATTCCGGGATTTTCAGAGCCTGTGGCCCAGCGTTTCTGAGAGACAGCAGATCTCGTGGCTGATAGATGGGAACAAGAGCTCAGGGCTGATCCTGGAAAACAGCCGCAGGGCCCCTGGCGGGGGCGGGTGGGAGGGAGCCGCTGCCACCCACGGCCTGCACAGGCTGGGCCTGACCCGCTTCCTCACCCCACGGCTACTGGTGGACGTGCTCCGCAGCACTTCCTGGTTCTCATCCTCCGATGCTCTTCAGGCGCCGCCGCCGGGCACCCGGGATGTGTTTGGTGAGTGAGGTGTGGGAGGATTGGCCACGCTGCGCTGGGAGCTGAGGCCTAGGGGACACTGTGTGACCCGGTCACCTCCAACTGTGCCCCCCACGTGTCCCCTCAGCCACTGCTGAGCAGGAGGAGGCAGGCTCAGGGGTGCCCAGCCCACCCAGACAGGACAGTCTGTACCTCAACACCACACGCACACGAATGCGCACGCACACACACGCGCGCGCGCACACACACGCACACACACGCACACACACGAGTCCACAGCCCAGCAGCTGCAGTTACTACCCATTCCTCAGATCCCTCTTCCTTAGCATCTTGCTGCCCCTGCCAAGCTGGCCCTTCTGCGGAAACGAAAAATGACCCAGCCCCTTCCCCCCTGAAACAGCCCAGCTGCAATCTCCTCTCTGCATGCAGGACAACGCGGCCCAGACCCGGCCGGGGAGGGTCCGGCTGTCAGACGTCCACGCTCATCCCCGCTTCCATTCCTGGGACGGCCTGTTAGACTTCGCATTGAGTTTTCCTAACAGCCTTACCAAAACGTACTGCGGGGCCGTTTTTTTTTCAGGGGTGCAAAGTGAGGCTCAGAGCAGTAAAGACACCTTCCTGGTGTCGCACAGCATGGAGTGGTTAGAGGCCATACTTTAACCAGCTTCTCCCTTCCCTGTGCTGGGGAAGGCTTTAAAGAAGTTTCAGTTTGAAAGATGCAAAGGTTTTTAAAAAGTAGCAGTCCTCCAGGCGCCCTGAGGCCCAGAGACCCCTGGTCCTCAGCAGGAGGTGCAAGAGGGCCTTGCAGACCTCCCCCGGGGCCCTGTGTCCTGGGGTCCATGTCGGCTGTCACAGGGCACGGGCGGGTTTTTTAGGCTGCCTCGTGCGGCTCACTGCTTCCAGCCTGGCCTGTGTGCGCAGCGGGGTGGGAGTATCCTGGGGTGTCCCTGGGGCCCGGGCTGGTGGGTCGCTGCACCTAGACCGACCTGCTCAGAGCAGGAAGCGAGGCCGGGTCACGGCGGCTTGATGCTGCCCCCTGGTGGCGAGGATTGGGAGGGTCGGACGCCTCCCAGTCCGCTCCCTGGGTCATTCGGCCTGAAGACTTCTCAGTCGATCTTCTCAAGCAGGTCCTTTTATGGACGTTGGATTTTATTTCTCCCGGGTGAAAACGTGAGCGTGGAATGGCCGGCTCACAGGCGGACGCATTAACTTGAAAGAAACAGTCCGTTTTCCAAAGTGAGGTTCAATTTATTTTATTTATTTATTTATTTTGTCTTTTTGAGACCGTCTTGCTATGCAGTTCAGGCTGGCCTTGAGCTCACTTTGTAGCCCAGGCTGGTCTCGAACTCCCAGCGATCCTCTTGCCTCAGCCTCCCGAGTGCTGGGATTACAGGCATGCACCATCACGCCTGACTCAACACTTACACCAGCGCTGTGTGATTGTCTAGTTGGCCCACACTTCTGCTAACACTTGATGTCATCTGTCACTTTAAATTTAACTATCCACTGGTACCTGCATTTTTTTTGGTACCAAGAATCGAACTCAGGACCTTGCACTTGCCAAGCAGGTACTGTGCCCCTGAGCTAAATCCCCAGCCCTAGGAACCTGTATTTTAATTATCACTCTTTTATATATTTATTTAGAGGCAGGGTCACACTATGTAGTCCAGGCAAGCCTTCAACTTGCTACTTCGCAGAGGCTGGCCTCGAACTCATGTCTTTCCAGCCTCACACTCCCAGGTGCTGGGATTACAGATGTGCATTGACCATTCCCAGCTGGTATCCGTATTTTTTAATCTGCATTTCCTCAGTGGCTGAGGACACAAAGCTTCTCTTCATGCGCTATTAACCATTCTTAATCTTTTACAAAGTGTTCAGGGCTTTTGCTCGTATATATATTTTTAATTTTTAAATTTTTTTAAATTTTTAAATTTTTTTTTTTTTTTTTTCTGGTACCAGGAATCAAACTCACGACCTCGAGTTTGCCAGGCAGGTTCTGTGCCACTGAGCTAAATCCCCAGCCCCTTGTTTTTTTTGGTTTTTTGGGGGGTTCTTTTGGTAATTTTTTTAAATTACTAAATTGAAGAGTTCTCTATATTGGGGGAGGGAAGTTGAGACATGATTTCATTATCTGGTCGTGCTGACCTTGAACTCACTATGTAGTCCAGGTTGACCTCAAACTCGGTGACCCTCCTGCCTCAGCCTCCCAAGTGCTAGGATTATAGGCATGTGCCACCATGGCCATATTTTGGATAGTTGCTCTTTGCCAGTTATTGCTGTGAGTATATTCTTCCAGCCAGTGGCTTGCCTACTTATTTCACCCATTGTGTCTTTGAAGTTTGCTTTCAGGTTTGAGGATGTCTGATTTTCAAGTATTTCTTTTATATCTTCACTCTGGGTCCTATGCAAGAAGTCTTGATGGACAGTCACATTTGTTTATTTTTGTGTTTTCCAGTGTTGCTCTGTTTTCTTTAATGTATTTCCATTTTAATTAGTAAAAATAATGACATCCAGGTCAAAGCTAAAAGGTGAAAAAAAAAGTGAGGTCTCAAGAGGCTGAGGCAGGAAGATTGTAAACTCAAGGATAGCCTGGGCTATATAGTGAGCTCAAGGCCAACCTGTACTACACTAATTTCAATAAATTCTGATTACTCACTGCCTTTGGACCAGCCAGCCTGCACTACAAAGCAAGCAAGATCCTATGTCAAAAAAATCCCACAAAATAAAACCCTGAGGTTTATTTTTTACTTTTTTGTGGTACGGGGGACTGAACCCAAGGCCTTCACACTGACCTCTGGGCCTTTTTTTAAGTTTATTACTTTAAGACAAGGTCTTGCTAAGTGTCTAAGTTGCCCTGGCTGCATCGGAACTTATAGCCCTCCTGCTTCAGCCGCCCGGAGTGCTAAGATGGCAGGTGTGCACCAGCATGCCTAGCATGAAGCATAGTGAGAGCTTGCTTCCACTCCCAGCTGTTCCTCATCCCGCACAACGTGACCACGTTACTTATCCTTTGTTCTGTTTTAAAAATGATATATCTCACCCTTTTCCTTAAACAAAAAGTAAAGCGCTGGGCGTGGTGGCGCACGCCTTTTATCCCAGCACTCGGGAGGCTGAGGCAGGAGGACCGTTGCAAATTCGAGACCAGCCTGGGCTACAGAGTGAGCGCAGGGCCAGCCTGAACTGCAGAGCGAGACCCTGCCTCAAAAAGACAAAAATAAATAAATAAATAAATAAATAAAACAAAAAGTAGAGTAAGGAAAGAGGGACACACACACGCATATATAACTTAGGTGTATTTGTTTATATATGTTACATATGTATATGTGTGTGTGTATCTTATTTTTTTTAAACAATATATCCTGGAGGGACCGCTCGGTGGTCATTTCTGGAAATGTCCTCCTGACCTGGTCCGTTCCCCGTTTACTTTTGGAAGCACCGAGTAGCAGCACTGATAGGTACTGCTTATCGTTTCCACTGTACTGGACGGCACACGCCCCTCCCCTTCCGGTTTTGGCTCGTTCTTCTTTGGGAGGGATTTCTAGATGCGGCGTTGCCAGGTCGAGGGCCCCACAGCTGTGACCCTCGGACACCACCACGCCCACCCCGTCTCGGGGCAGGAAAGCGCTGTCTCCCAAGCCCTGCCTCGGCTTTGGCTGCGCCTCCCACGGCAGGGCCACCCTCCCACGTTCTGTCCACCCGGGAGGCAGAAGCGCGTGGTACCTGGGTAGCATCAGGACGAGCCTGCAGCCTAGCTGTCCTCACCGGCTGTGGCCCTCTGTGATGCCCTCTGCCTGTCCTTGGCACCGGGGCCGCCACCAGCTCAGCAGTTTCTCCTGTGGCCCGCTCTGGCTGTTCTCACTTTAGACCAAGGTTCACTGGCCATACTTGGCTTTTGTCCCATTTCACAGATGAGGAGGGAGCAGTGGGGTCTAAAGAGTGAGCTAGGATGTTGCCCCAGTTCCCAGGGTTCAGGCAGTGGGGAGGCAAGCCGGCTCAAGATCACACGTGCACACTTGGACGTGCGTGTGACAAGTGTGCCCGGACCCATATACACCCCTCTCCCCGCTGCCCACCTCGCTCTCTCTTGCTCTCTGTCCCCCACCTTTCTCTTTCTCTTTCCTTTTTTGTAGTACCAGGGATTGAGCCCTTCACACTGAGCTTTTATTATTTTTTTTTTGGAGATGATCTCGATGAGTTGCTAAATTGCCCAGGCTGGGCTCAAATTTGCAGTCCTCCTGCCTCAGCCTCCCAGAGTGCTAGGATGACAGGTGTGCAGTACCACACTCAGCTCATGCATATTTCTGAATAAGAGGACAGGGACATTGTCACGGCTGGCCCTTTGTACGTACTGGTAACCCCTGAAGCAGGGCCACCTCTCATAGGAGTCTTCAGTTCTGACGCAGCCTCCTTTAAGCTCAGCCTAGGGCAGCTGTATGTGCCCCATCAGGAAGTGGGGACATGGCTCACAGTGGCTGTTACCCTGTCAGCCAATGAGAGATGGCTGAGGACTTTCACTTGGCCCTGCTGACTTCCAGCCAGCACGTACACATGTAAACATGCACACGCACAGGTGAACACACACGCACACCCACGCACACACGGGGACACCTTGGGATAAGAACTGCTGCTCAGAACTCAGAATGCAGCAGTGCCTGGACACCGTTGCTGGGACAAAGGTCTTCCATGGTGCCAAAATGGAACCTCTCCAAGAGTAAGGGTGCTCCACTCAGGAGTGGGGAGGGGTGGCCTCAGGCGGAAGTGGATGCTAGGGACATCCCCCACGGGGAGGCGGGAGGAACTGTGGTCACGTTGCCGAGCCAGGGTGGGTGCTAATCTGGGTGCTCACCGCCTTCCCCCAAGTCCTGCCCCCACCTTCCCAGGCCCCCAGTAGGGACAGAGGGCAGGTGGGGCCTCCCACGGCGCTCTTCTCTCTTACAGTGACAGTGGGGACGTGTCAAGCAAGATTAATGTCTCCTCCGCATCAGGTACAACCCCCGCCAGCGCCTGAGGCTGATGGGTGTGGCGCTGCCAGCCGTGCTGAGGCGGCCCTTGGAGGCACAGCCCCTGAGTCTTGCTGAGGCGGGCTGAGAGGACGCTGTCTGAGGGGTCCCAAGGGAGCCGAGGGAACCGATGCATGCTGGGCCTTGCTGCTGTGCTTCTCTGACCCAGGTTCCTGCCCTGTGAGTGGGCAGAGCTGCTGGGCCCTGGACGCTGACTGCTTCCCCTCCCACAGAGTCCAGACTGGGCCAAGGGCGAGAGGGCATCCTGCTCTTTGGGCCCTGTTCTGGGAGGAGACCCTGGGTGGGGAGACTCCAGCGGCCCTCTCCCTGGGAGGGGCTGGAGGAGCTGGCTGTGGAGACCGGACCTACACAGGTCTCCTTGGAAACATGGGGACCCCCATTGCCCAGCCTTGAGGAAGACCCCGGGGCTCCCATCCTCCCCCTCTTGGACACACTGGGCCTGCAGGGGCCTGGGCTTCCTCTTCCAAACAGCCCTAAGCTGCATCTGGGGACTTCCCTGCCCAGGGCCTGGAGACTGGGAGGTGAGGCACAGCACCAGAGGCACACATGGGCTGCACACCCACTGTTCACGGCCCTTGTGGCATGAGGCGGAGCCAAGGTTGGAGGGAATGAAGGGCGGGTCTGAACCCCCGAACACCCACCTCCAGGAGTAGATGGGAGCAGGCCCCAGGAACTGTCCTGATTAGCAGCAAGGGCATGTTAGCAGCATGGGCTCTGGAGTCAGGCATGCTTATTCCACCCTTGGCTGGTACTTATTTACTGGGTGACCTCAGCCCAGTTACTTAACCTCTCTCACCTTTGTCTCCATACCTGCAAAACTAAAAAAAAACCCACCTACCTTCACCGGTGTTTTGCAAGAGCAACTGAAGTGAAATCTGCTCCTGCTTCCTTCACCTGGTCGAGGAAGAGCTCTCATCGTAGGACACAGGGCATCGTAGGACACCGGAGACAGAAGCACTCTGGTTCAAATCCTGGCCCCTCCACCTACTAGCTGAACAGCCATGGTCAGCTTGGCCCTCCCTACAGGCCTGGCTTTCTGCTCTGTAAAACGGCCCTAGAGCTGGGCGTGGTGACGCACACCTGTAATCCTGGCACTCTGGGAGGCTGAGGCAGAAGGATCACGAGTTGAAACCCATTGTGCGCAATTTAGTGACTTGGGAAGACCCTATCTCAAACTAAAGAATCAGAAAAGGACTGGAGTGTAGCTCAGGGCAAAGGCCTTGGGTTCAGCCCTCAGTACCTCAAAATAAACCAACAGTGGGGGCCGCCCCTGAGGCCCTGGGTCTGAAGATCCCTCCTTCCTCTCACCTCCAGGGCCGAATCTTCCGCCTCCAGGGCCGAATCTTCCACCTCCAGGGCCGAGTCTTCCGCCTCCAGGGCCGAATCTTCTGACTCCATACTACCCTCCTCCCGCAAGAGGCCCCTTCTTCCCCACCACGCCCCCTGACGCAGGTGAGTGCGCAGCCCGGCCACCTCCTCCTCTCCTCGCTGCATCTGCCTGGGCGCAGGCTTCTGGCGGCTCCCTCCCAGCCGCAGGAGGGAACCTGGAGGTTCCAGGGCCAGATCAGGTGGCCCCATGGCCATGGGCCTCTAGTGAGGGTAGCCATGCTGGGAGTGTGTGTTATAGTGAGCCTCCTTCACCATGAGCCAGGGAGCCGAGATGGGGCTCCCACGGTCTGTCCCCTCCGAGGACACAGACACACCCTCACTGACCTAAGAACTTCCCACAAGCCCCACTCCCAAGGGCCCGCCTGCCTCCCAGCAGCACCGCCCCAGGGGACAAGCCTCCACCACGTGGGGTTGGACTCTGGGCCAGCTCGCAGCTGCCTGAGAGTTCTCCTGTGGGCAGCCTCAGACTGGCACAGTAGAGATGCCCCTGTGGTGGGAAAGTGCCCCTGGGCCCACAGGACACGCCCCCCATCCAGCCACGCACACTTCTCCCTTGGTTTTCTGCCACAAAGGGTATGCATCACACTCTCGCCCCTCAGGACCCCCGCTCTTCAAATCCCAGCAGCCCTTGCTTGACCCACAGAGGGAGCACAAGTCCAGGAGCATGAGCGCCTGACGCAGGCAGGCACAGCGGCCGCACACCAGCACCACCACTGGTGTCTTCTCCCGCTGTTGGCAGCGCTGGGGGTGGACCCCAGGGCCTCACATGTGCTCTGCCACCCCCCCCCAAACACCTTCACGACAAATGCAGCACCCTGAGGATGCAGTGGTGGCCTCGGTGTCAGTCACTGAGCAACCTTGGTGGCCCTGCTGCACATGTGCCCAAGTGTGGCATGACAGGGACAGTTCACACTTTCGCCTTCCGCGTACTGGTGTGGCCAGGGCACCAGGCAGGGCACTGCCACCACAAGGACTGGAAACCGCTTCTGGAGCTTAAGGAGCCCGAGAGCACGGGGCTGACCAGATGGGCAGGACACGGCGAGCACTGCCCGAGTGGAAGGGGTCACACTAAACCCAGAGACGCTCAGTTCCTGGGTCCCTGTCCTTGCTGTGGCCGGGGGTCTTGACCACAGGAGGCCTGAGGCTGACGAAGGCGAGGTGGGTGGCCGCCGAGACCCTGCAGCAGAAGAGAAGCCAGTGGAGGGGGGCGGGGCGAGGTCTGACCTGCCTCCCCGCCCCCAGCCATGTACCACACCATGCTGAGGGCATCGACCTCCATGCCGATCCAGGCCATGTGCCCCTACTGCGGGAACTACATCGTCACGGTGACCTCCCGGGTCCCAGGACTGCTCACCTGGCTGCTGTGTGCCAGTCTCTTCTTCTGTGGGTGAGTGGCCTGGCCCGGGGCGTCCAGCTGGGGGTGGGTAGGGCAGAGGGAACTTGTGCATGAGACAGGTTGGAGGATGGAGGCCTCAGTGTTGACCTGGCCACTTGGCGTTGGTGTCCTCCCGGGACAGATGGGTGCAGACACAGTGCCTGCCAAGCAGGTGACTCCAGGCAGGCGCTGTGGCCGGTGCTACCACCGGCAAGACAGAGAGGGTCGGCATGGCTCTCAGCCAGGCCCCGCGCCTGGACCCACCTGGAAGTCAGAGGGGCACAGGGTGGCCAGGGTGCTGCTCACGACCTGACTCTCGAGGCTGCAGGTGCTTCTTGGGCTGCTGCTTCCTGCCCTTCTGCATAAAGACCCTGATGGATGTGAAGCACTCCTGCCCCGTGTGCGGCCACGAGCTCTTCCACCACCGCCGCTTGTAACCCCAAGGAATAAAGGTTACCAAGGCCGCTTCAGAGTGTCCTGCGGGCGTCCCCACCAGCCCCGGCCACGCACGGGGCTTCCTCTGCTCTCCTGTTGCTGGGACGGTGGGGTTGCTGCCCACAGGGACCCAGGACACCGCAGGTGCTCAGGCAGCGGTGACTGGGGCGCCTGGCTGTCTTGAGGTCCATCTTGCTCTCTAGAGCTGCAGCTGGGGACCACGCCCCCGCCTTCCTGCTCCTGGGAAAGCGCACTTCCAGGAAATCTGTGCCTGCCGTCACCGCCCCGCCCCTTGTGGTCACGCTGGACCCACAGCAGGCTCACACCGCTTCCCCATCCGGTCTCTCCCCAGTGTCCAGCGGCGCCTGTTCACCCCTAGAGAGCGTTCGCCCTCTTTGTCCCCTGCCTGAGTGGCTAAGTTTCCTCATCGCAAGCCTCCCTCTCCCACCCCTTTGCGGGGCTGTAATGCCCTCCAGCCACCTCTCGGGGGCGTCCTCTGCCTGCCCGGCCCCCCACTCTTCTGCCAGGGCTCCTGCCCTCACCTCCCCACCCCACCACCTTCCCCCTGGGATGCCTTCAGGGGGTCTCCATGGACTTCCTCTGCCCTCCACGATGGGTGTGGATGGCATTGCCACCCCTCATCTCCCAGATACCCAAGGCAGCCTTTTGGTCCTGTCCTTTCGGCACAGTGGTTTCTACCCTGCCCCTTGTCCAGCCTTTTCTCCTCCAAGGAGTGAGCTCCCTACCTAGGTCTGGCCTGCTCCTTCTGTCCCCACCAGCAGCCAGTGCCCCTGAGGGGATTAACAGGGGCAACAGTTGGTCACTCCGGCTTGCATTGTGCCAGACACCCACCTGGAACCCATTACCCTCAGGTTAAACTGAACTCGGGCTCACCTGAGGCCAGCTGTGAGCCTGCTCCTGCCTCCCTCCCAGAGCCAGGACCAAGTGCTGCACATTCAGCACTTGCCACATCCATCCTGGGCCATCCCGTCCTCCCCGCCCTGACAACCTGTCCCCTGCCCTCTGCTGTCACCTTCCCCAGGCACATCCCGAGCTCCCGGCACCCCCAGGACCTGGAAGGGGCAGAGGTTTATGAAAACGGAGAGGGACAAATCTTCCCAGGGCCCTGCAAGGCTCCCCACCGGCCCAGGTCTCGTCCTTCGGCCCTTCGCTCCTGCAGCCCTGCAACACCACAGAGGTGGCTGAAGGCAGAAGGCCTCAAGCTGGCCTTTGAATGGGGAAAAGGAGGGTCTGTCTGGGGACCAGGACAGAAGGGGGTTGGGGAGGGAAATGCCGCGTGTCTGGCAGATATCTCCCGCTCCATACTAGGGCTGGAAACCTGGGCCTTGCAGGGAGAGGGAGATGTAAGAAGAATTAAGATGTATCACATACACACACCCATTCCCTGCAATGAACACAATCATGTACTGCAAACATGTACCAATAAAAAGAAAGCTAGGCATCCCACTGAGCAAGTGCGTTACCACTGAGCTATATCCCCAGCGCCCCACTCCTTTTCTGTAGTACTGGGGATTGAACCCAGAGCCCTCACATTAAGCTATATCCCCATCCCATTTTCAGAATTTTGAGATAGGGTCTCACTAAGTTACTAGATTTCCCAGGCTGGACTCGAACTTGTGATTGTCTTGCCTCAGCCTCCCAAGTGGCTGGGATTCTACTCTACCAGGTGTGTGCTACCACCAAACCTGGCTGAAATAGATTTTTAAATTTTGTAATATAAAAAAATATTGTTCTTGGGGCTCGGGGTGTGGCTCAGTAGTAGAGCTCTTGCTTCGCACGCACAAGGCCCTGGGTTTGATCCCCAGCACCACCAAAAAAAGCAAAGAAAATAGTCTTTCCATCTTTAACTAAGATGAATTTCATTAAAAGATAAAAGTAAGCTGAGCATGGTGGCGCACTCCTGTAATCCCAGCACTCGGGAGGCTGAGGCAGGAGGATCACTGTGAGTTCAAGAATGGCCTGGCTACAAAGTGAGCTCAAGGCCGGCCTAAACTGCATAGCGAGACCCTGTCTCAAGAAGACAAAAAAAAAAAAAAAAAAGATAAAAGTAAGTGAGGAATTAGGAGAAAGTAAAATAGGCCAGTGTGGGCTTGTGAATCTCTTGTCATATGCTGGGCTTCACCGTAATGCCCACAACCCGCCCCGGAAAAGCAGTGTCACCCCAGCCTATGACACAGAAGCCCAGGCCTGACAGATTTGTGAAAATAGAGTAACTAGACTGTCAGCCAGAAACTTGGTTGTATCTACCCTGCACTCCTGCCTCGGCAAGAAAAGGTGCGGATGGTCAGAGTACACAAGAGCGGGTCAAAATATACAGTAAATGTTTACATTTTTATGAATTTACTATAGGAAAAGATCCACTGCCGTTAATTCCCCTCAAAATACTCCCCTCGAGGTGACTGCTGCCGCCGAGCGCCATCCAGCGGAAAGGCAGGCTCCTAAGGACATCATGTGGTGTCCTCCTCTACTTTATCCATGCATCTGGCAGCGTATGACTTCTGGCTCTCTCCCAAGGGCTGAGGGGCCATGAAAAGGAAACATTTTGAATCTATTCAGGACATGGAGGCAGCCACAATGGCACAACTAAAGACACTCACAAAAGAGGACTTCCAGAGCCGCGTCAGAAAGCGGCAAGAACAATGGGATAAGTGTTGGAAGCAAGGGGGAGTGTTTTTGGGGCGACTGATGGCAATGTGCCTTTTACTGTAATAAATTTTTAACAATTTCAAACACTGACAGTGTCTTATCAGACTACACACAGCCAGAGGGATGGGAGCATCGCCAGCAGAGGCTGCCGTGAGCACTACAGTTAGGTAGGGCCAGGCAGGTCCTCATGTCACAACAGCCAGGGGTTGGACAAGTTCTGCGACAGGTCCCACCCCGACGGCCACACCTCTGCTGTCTCCACTATGGCCCTGAACAACTGGGAGAACCGGCTGCAGAATGGACACCTGTGCAGGACCAGCGCCTCCACTGCTGCACCCAGACAGAGGCTGTCTTAGCAGAATCAGTAAGGATTAGGTGAAGCTTTGGACAAATTAGGCACCTGCGACCCTGGTGAGAAGCTGAAGCCAAGGAAGCTTTGCGATCAGCTGGGTCACAGGGAGCCAAATCAGCACAGGAAGATAGGCCCTGTGACAAGACAGGCAGTTACAGGGCCAGGTGAGGCCGTGGGATCTCAAACAGGACGAGGACCGGCCTCCACGATCCAGGGGGAAAGCCTTGTCTGGAACCTGGGGGCGCTCAGCGGTGCTCAGCCGGTAGCAGCAAGAGCCATGGCCACCTGATGTGGACTGAATACGTCAGCAGATCCGTTCAGCCCCATCCTTGCAGCTGCCCTGCCTAGATCAGGATTCCCAGACAGGTCCACAGTCACATGTGACTTGGTTTAGGGCAAGGCTGACTGCTGGCCGCAGCTCCTCTTAGAGAAAGAGCGCTCGGAGCCCTGCTCCCTGGGGGCAGACAGCCACCAGGTCCTGTCTGAGAGAGCCCTCGCAGCCTGAGCGGATCCCTACCAGGCCGTTACCCTGACATGACTGCAAGGTTCTGCCCAGTCCTGGTCGATATCTTTCCCTGACCCAAAGGCAGTCCCAGTACCTTGGAATGGAAACTGCTCAGTGCTAGAATAATGTCACTTGCTGTCTCTTAAATGGGAGAATTCACATGGAAAATCCAGACTTCCTGCTGCTTTCTGCCTGCAGGGGCTGCAGCACAGGCACTCACGGCATCCACCCGCCTCCCATCCCAGCCTCGTTGGAGCCAGCACCTCCCACGGCTCAGCCTAATGCACCATGCCCACCTGTTTTTATGTATATTCTTTTTTGTTTTGTTTTGTTTTTTTGTTTTTTCTCCGGTACCGGGAACCGAGCTCGCGACCTTGCGCTTGCCAGGCAGGCGCTTTGCCGCTGAGCTAAATCCCCAGCCCCTGCCCACCTGTTTTTACAGAGGGCAGTCGTGGCCTCCAATGCCCAGGAGCTGCTGCAGAGACAGGTTAGGTATGGGGCGTGGCCACCTTCCCCGCTCTTCCCAAGCCGGGACCTGGACCTCCACTCGAAGACGACCCTCTTCCCTGGCAGATGCGCTTGGCCTACTGACTCACTAAAACTTGGGGGCAGCTCCATCCTGCCACCAAGTAGCCTCAGCTCTACATCCAGCAACACAGAGCCCCTGAAGGCCAAGCTTCTGTCTCCGAGCTGACCAGATGCCAGTTGCTTGGCAGATTTCTTCAGCTTAGCATGATGAATGTTACAAATGGTGCTGAGGACGGGTTCTTGGCTACTGTTCCCTGCCACTCACCTCTGGCCTAGCCAGAGCCAAGAGATAGAACAAGATGCTGCCCCTTATCACAGGAGCAGGACAGGAGGGCGGAGCTGGCTGGGGTGGGGCTCTAGCTATCAGCAGCTGAGAGCCAGTGGTCACACACCCACCCCTAGCTTGACAGTGGGTAAGAGGTCCACCTGTGGCTCTCACCTCCAGGCAGGCTCAGAGAGCAAGGGGGAACCGAGGGCCACCAAACCAGAGGGAGCCTTGAGCGACTTCGTATGCCCCAGCTCCTCAACCACCACCCATCCTGCGCATGGCAGGAGAGCCGACATTGCTCCTGGGACATCTAGTAGATGTGGTTTTCTCTATCTCTTGCCCCACCCTAAGAATAATTCTGCAGGAATGAGCTTGAAGGGCTGAAAAGGTCCCACTCCTTTCCGGTGGGATGGACAGGCAGGCATCAGCCTTGCTACCAGGGACAGACAGGCAGGCAGGCATCAGCCGTACCACTGGCTGGTGTGGGCTTCAGGGACGGTCTGGGTCCCTCTGTTTGCTGCTCATGTGAAAGCCTCACGCTGACTGTGCTGCCCCTCCCCAACACCCAGCCGGTGACCTCTGGGTGGCATGGCCCCATCTCTGAAACCCACATACAATCCCGCTCCTAAAGGTCCTTCAAGAGCACCTGTGGACCTCAGCTTCTGGGCCTTAGTTAAAAGTAGCAAAGTGCAAGTCACAAAATGCCCCAACTCCCACTTGCCCCACGGCAGAATACTTTCACGTGGTTCCCTCCCTTGAAATGAACGGCCCTGAGGGCTTCCCTCAGTGAGAAGGTGCTGCACTGGTGACGCCCTTCAGAGTGAGCCAGTAACGGAACATGGCACGATCTGGCACAGTGCTGCCCACCTGCGCGCCCAGCACTTGGGAGGCTGAGAATCATTGTCATTTTGAAGGCCAGACTGGGCTACATAAAGAGATCCTATCTCAAACAAAACCAAACCCACATAACAAGGCATGGAATGCCATTAACTCCTAGGGCCATTAGACACATGATTAAGACCAGAATTGTGGCCTCTGCAGGTAAGAGCACGGGCAGAGCATCCCACCAAGGCCAAGGCCAGGTCAGGACAAGAGGTCCAGGGTGGCAGGACCCCACACAGTGCTGGGAATATACAGTGCCAACCTGACATATTTGAAATGCGTTCACTTTTTCAGAGAAGGGCCAGCCCCAGGCTCAATGAGACTCATTCTCCCCCAGCAGACCCACAGAGGGAATCTCCAAACCTGTCTGCCCCACAGAGGCCTGTGGTTTCCAACACAGGGATGGGCTCCTTCCCCGCTAACCCTGGGCTAACCCTGGGCCCGCTGGGATGCAGCCTCCCCTGGGGGGTGCCTTGCTGTCAGGACAGCAGAGTAGGGTGGTGCCAGCTCCTGTCAATGCCACGAGGCCCCTGAGAGATAGCATTTAGCATATGGCCTTGCATCAACGTGAGCTCTAATGCAGTAAAACAAAACCACACGAGGACCGTCTTCGCACCGTTCCCCTCAGTAATCGCTGACACCACAAGGTGCTAACTCATCTCCCTGGAAGGCGAATCCAAACCCAGATCTCATGATCTCAATAATAGGGCACAAATCTCCATCAGCCTCAAAACAAGGAGCAGATTAGTCAGGTACATTCTGTGAGGTGAGCCCCGGCCACCACCTCCTTTAGAAAGAGGTGGCCCCTGGACTCCCTGACTTTTCTGTCCCAGGACCCACCCACACCGGGATAGCGCCATCTCCACATAGGCTGTGGCTGCTGCTTTACCAGCCAGGAGGGTGGCTGACTCCTTTAACGTCACCACACTTCTACCCGGATGCAGTCCTCCTCTGAGCAGCAGATCCACGCCTCTGGATGTGCTGGTCACTGTGACTGTCTGCTAAAGGTCTATGCAAAGGGCAGCAATACCTGCCAAAGGTAGCCCCAAGATGAGCTGCCAGGGTACACTGGGACAGAGCCTTCATGCTACAAGGGGAAGAGCCAGCGTACAAGAACCTGGTGTTGGAGACAGTGGTAGACCACGCAGCCTTCTGCTCCCAAGGGATAAAGCAGTCCCGGAAACGCTCACAGCGGCTGAGTGCTCATGTGGCGGTCACACTTCAGATCCAAGGCCCGCAGTGCTGGGGGCTCCCCTCACCACCAGATGCAGCGCGCATGGCACAGGGAGAAGACACAACATCCTCAGAAGGCAGCTAGCTCCCCTGCCTTAAATGTAAGAAGTTCCACTCTTATCTCCTCAAACCTGGTTTAGTGAATCCAAGCACCTGATAGCGGAACTCTCAACAGACGGAAATGTAAGTGCAGTACACACACAACGGACACAGTGAAAGAGCTCTTTGAGAAAACAGTCATTTAATATCTCAGGGACAATAGTAAGTTTTAGGTACCTCGGACTATAACCAATCCCCAGCCAAGACCTAAAACAAAAAAACCCTTAGTGTTCATTTGAAGACAAACTCAAAACAAATGGCCATCCCCTGTGACCTGCTACTTCTCCCACTCGTCAGACGGGAGCTCGGAGCAGGAAGGCACACATTTCACAGCGGAAACTGAGGGCAGAAGCTGCTCCAAGGTACAGACTGGCCCAGAGACCAAGAAAGCCGAGCCCTGACACAGATGTGAGCCAGACAGGGGCCATGCCAGGGCCCCAGGCACTCGCGAACAGCTGCCTCCCTCGCACCACACCTTACAACGTCCTGCACAGTGCTCGCCTCCTCAGCCGTCCATCAATCCTGCCTGGCAACGCGCTGCAATCTCTGAAGCCCCAAAGTGACTCTAGTGAAAAGGCAAGTCATCCCCCCACCACCCTCTGCCACCCTGAAATTAGGGAGGAAAAGACACCACTTTAAAGCCTTGGCAAATGTGAAAGTGCTTCCCAAGCCTGGGTCCAAGGAGGGCAGAAGTCTTCCTGAACTTCCATGTCACTCACTGAATTAAATTTTTATAGAAAATTTTATTCAACATACAACATTTTCCAGCAAAAAGGCAATATACAGGAAGAGTTGTTGTACACTGCTGCTACAGAAACAAACAAAAAATATTGGAAAAGGAGGAAAGGAAATCTGATCTGATTCTATTGTACTGCACTCAAACTAGACACGCAGCTGGCATTAGCTCCAAAATAAAAAGGAATGAGGTTGAGGCAGAAATAAAGCCACACACAGTGAGTACCCAATTTGTAGACTCACTCAACAAAAAGTGACCTCCTCCCAGTGGCAAATTGTACATGTTCATTCATTAAATATACATTTCATTTTCCCTCTTTATTTTACCTTTTTTACAAAGTCAACAGCTTCCTAACCACTAGCAAGCATGCCCTCTTGCTAAACGGATCTGCTTTGTCCTCCTGCCTGTTCCACTGCCTCAGAGTTCTATTTATCACCCTTTCACCTGCTCACATCAATGACAGCATTAAACTTGCTG